CGAGAATGTGCGAAGGCGGAGGTCACAGGAACTCGTTAGAGAGGCGTTCCGTGAGCCGGAGGCCCTCCCTCTCGCTGGCGGCAATGGGAGCGTCCACAGGCTGGGAATCCCGGGTTGGTTCCAGGGCGTAGTGTGTGCGAGCGCGTGTTCGGTGAGAACGTCTGGCCAAGGTGGTCTACTCCACGCCCCAAAGCAGTAATGGAAATTAGTCACCGTAAGGCGCAGGCTACTTTGGTGGCGGCTGCAAGAGTTTTCAGTTTCTCAGGCACCAGATGCAGAAACTGGCAGCAGGCGTTAGGGCGTCAGCCCACGAGACTGCCAGAAATGTCTGTTAGAATTGATGTGTTTGAGATAGATGAGCCATGATGGGAGGAGGTCTAGGATTCACACCTGGGGAAACAGCTCTTTCGTCATGGGGAATGGAGGCTAGGAAATCAGGAAGAAACTGCTTGGGTTGGTGTGTGGCGAAGACAGATTAGACCAAATGGGTGTTAACCGAATTTAGAGGGGGGTCACAACCGGTGCCCCAAGCCAAGGTGGGCCACCCAGTCAATAAACCACTGAAAAAAGTGGAAAGCAACGTGTGGTGGTGCAAGCCATTAATCCCAGCACTCTGAAGGCAGAGACAGTAGGATCTCCCGTGTGGTCTGTTTAGAGAGTTCCAGGTCGGCTAGAGCCCTCAGTGAAGTCCTGTCTCAAAAACCAAACACAAAATACAAACGAACAAAAACCAGTAAAAAACAGAAAAAGGAGATTGACTTAACGTGGCCACACTGGGAAGAGGGCCAAAGAGATAGTTAACTGTAGTGAGTCTTTTTCTGTCCCACAAGCCAGTTCCCAAATAACAACACGGATACTTATTAATTATGAAAGTTTTGCTTTAGCTCAGGCTTGTCCCACTAGCTCCGATAACCTGAATTAATCCATATCTATTTTTAATTAATCTACATTCTACCATGTTGCTTTAACCTCTCCAATTTTATACCCCCCTCTTCCTCTCAATATCTGGTTGCCGACTTTGTCTTTCTTTTTCCCAGAGTCCTCTTTGTCCCTAGAAGTGCCGCCTATCCTCTTCCTGTCTAGCTATTGACCATTCAGTTCGTTATTAAACCAAGCACAGTGTACAAATATTCTACAACACTTAACCTTTCCATAAGTGGCTCTCTGGGGTCCTGGAGTGAGATTAAAGTTTAAATAGAGGACCACTGATAGGCTCATCTAAGCAGTCCAAGTCTTCAATCTCATCCTGTAAGGTGGTCTGGCTAGATAGAACTGTGTGAAATCTCTTTCTGGGAGACAAATTCCTCAAATTGAGACCTTTCCCTTTTCCCATCAGGAGTGTTTGTTTGTTTTGGTTTGGTTTTTCGAGACAGGGTTTCTCTGTATTGTTTTTGGAACTGGTCCTGGAACACGGTCTCTGTAGACCACGCTGGTCTTGAACTCACAGAGATCCTCCTACCTCTGCCTCCCGAGTGGAGTGCTGGGATTAAAGGCGTGTGCCACCAACGCCCAACCCATCAGGAGTTTCCCTGCAGGAAATTTCCATTTCTTTGGGAGTCCTTTGAATAGTCTAAGAGTCAGATATACACATACACATACATACATACATACATACATACACACACACACACACACACACACACACACACACACACACACACACACGCTCTAGAGCCTCTTTAGAATACCTGTATTTCTATCAGGTCTGTTGAATGGGTGCTAGGATACTGTCAGAGCTGTGTTTGAATTGGATACCATGTGTTACAGGAAAAGGCAGGCAAGGGCTGGGATGTTTCTCAGTGTTAGAGCAGTTGCACAGCAAGTGAGGGACCCTGGGTGCACTTTCCGGTACCTAAGAGAAAGTGGGAAGGGGAGGGAGGAGGGAGAATAGAAGGAACTCTTAACTTCAAAAGAGTGACTTGAAGAAACATCTCAGGTAGATTGTGTAAAGAATGACTAACTAGGAATGAAAAGGAAACCTTGGAAGAGTATCACAAAGGATTCAAAATGTTTTCCAGACCTGGATTAGAAATCTAACACCCACAGGCTGTGGATGAATCAGCTGACAAGTTGATGACCACACCTGGGAGAGGACTTCCTTAGCTGGTCATTAGAATCCCTGAGTCTCAAGTGTTCTTATCTATATAAAGATCATACCTGAGTCATTAGGTGAGGCAAAGGGCAGTGAAAAAGTTAGCAAATGTTTGCAGCTATAACAAAATATAAGAGTGTTGACTTACAATTTAGGTAATTGATATGTAAGTATTGACTCCCTTTCCTCCCCATTGAAGGGACCAGCTTCCCTTTTGGCAGCCATAATGGCCGAACACGTGCTTCTATGACCTTGTCCTAGACACGAGAAAGTCAGATCCCTGCCTCGTGACAAGGAAACAATCAGAAGTTAGTCACTAGAAAGTCAGATGCCTGTCTCGTGACAAGGAACCAATCAGAAGTTAGCTGGTGGCGCTATGCTTTACAACCCTGGGTGTGCTTTACGGACAAGCGCACAGCAATGATGTAGAAAGCATAGCAACCACCCTGGGAGGGCCTATGGACCATAACAACCAGTTGACCAATCAACACAGGGCAAGCCCTCCAAGCCTGGAGGCACACCAATCCTGAGCCTGTGCATACCCCTAGACACTCCCCTTACGCTGCCCTATAAAGATCTGTATGCAGCCGCTTCAAACTGTCTTTGCTAGCCATCCGACATGGCGGGTGCATCAAAGACCCGAGCTAACATGGGGTTAGCTCGTTAAACTGCAATAAAGCCTCATGCAATTTGCATCAAGCTTTCACCTCCATTCTGTGATTGGGGTGGCCGAGGTCCTGGGCTAAGATTCTGGAAGCCTCAGCTTTTCAAGGGTCTTACATTTGGGGGCTCGTCCGGGATTTGCGACCACCCCTCACCTGAGTGGAGTCGATCTTGGAGGTAAGCGGGTACCCTGTATTGTCTGTGTCTTTGTGTTTTTGTGCCGGCTGAAATCTGGTTCTGTGCTTTGCAGTCGCTCGTGTCTTGGGAAGAGACAAGAGCTCTGGTCTCTGGAGGAGACAGAGTGTGATCAGTAGATGTGCTTGGGAGATCACCGACTGCCACCCTGGAAGACTTTCCAGGAAGTCTGTGGGAACCTCAGGGACGCTTGGGAGATTCCCGTCTGGGAGCCGGTGGGAGCCGGTGAGGGTACGGTAATTCTCCTGGATTGGGAAGTATTTCTGGAGTGATTTTGTTTGTCTAGGTGGAGACAGACATCTGATAGTTTTTGTCTGTGTGTCTTGAGTTTGTTTTTGTCTTATTTGTGAGTTTGATGATGGGACTGACCGTAACCAACCCCCCTCATGTCCCGCGCGACTGTCTCGCCAGCAAGAACGACACAGGGCATTCGGATCCTTCTGCAGTAAAGCTTTTAATGCGTCTTGAGAGGAGAGCATAAGCTTACCAGAGCGGAGACCCCGAGCCAAGAATCCCGTCCCCTAATAAAGGCTGGCAGCCGCCGCCTGGGACGTGTCACCCTATGATTGGCTGCAGCTCATCAGGCCATATGACGCCACGGAATAGGCAGAGATCAAGGAATGGAAAATTACCCAGCGCCTGCGCAATAATCTTGTTTACATTCAGTGTCTGCCGGATGCAGGCACCATCTTGTAATGGAGAATGCAGGGACGGCTCCCTACACCCTCAGTCTGACTTTTGACCACTGGACGGACGTTAAGGACCATAGTTAGTCAGTTAAAGTTATGACACCCCCTTTCGTTGAGTCACGTGGCACCACACTAGGTAACTTTATTTTCCAGTCTTTGTTTCTGTATGGTTTCTGTACAAGAATTGTTTAGGGCAGAGGTTCGAATGACAGCTTCTGCAGTCTGTAGGAGCGGGACCTGGTAAGACCAAGTTGCCTGGTCCATCTATAAGGGGACCCAAGTGGGTCGCACAATCTGTAGGATGGGGACTAGCTGGGAGCAAGTCATCTGAAATTCCGAATAGGACCCTAGTCTGTGTTACTGTACTGGCTGTCCACGTTTCACATTTGTGTTGTGTGTTTGTTAAGCATCTCTTTCTGTCCCTACTGCCCACGCACTTGGCATGCATGGGTCAGGGGTCTTTTCTTGTTGCCCTAAGCATGTGGCATGAGAAAGGAGTTCTGCCATGTGTCACAGGTTAAAATGTGTTGTGTTGGAGTCCCCCGAGACTGCTTTTCTGAACCACTGCTGCAGCCCTTAGAGCTGAGCCTGGCCGATGCAGGTGAGTCTTTCCCTATCCCCACCTGCCGGGCTGTGAGGCATGCGAAGTGGGGGAGTCTCTGCCCCAACTGCTCTCCTGCCATGAGTCCTGGCTTGCGGCTCTGAGGGAACATGGCTGCAAGGCCGCCATCTGCCTAGCTAGCTGCCCTGCCTTCTTTGTGCTCCACACACATGGTATGCAGGGGGACTGCAGGGGTTTTTTCTCACCCCTGCATTGGCTGAGGGTCTGGGATTACCAGAAGCCCCCCCCCCCCAGGTCTCTTCCCTGAGCACATGGAGCTCAGGCGGGGGAACCATCTGTCCTGATCCGGGTGTTCTAAAAAAAAAAAAAAAAAAAAAAAAAAACTTAAGGACTTTGATAAGAATATATGTTGACCAAGAAATGAGAGAAAATGTAGGATACTAAAGTAATAGAGAAAGAAAGAAAAAAAAAAGAAATTTGTCTAAGAATG